TCTGGGTGCAGGCAGCAGACCTGCCGGGAGGAGATGGCATCCCAGCTGCTCACAGGTGTGTCTGTGCACGCACACAGTTGGCCGTGGCACCCACAGCACGCATGCACGTGTGTGACCATCCGTGCACACACACACAGCATTCTCTGGTGGTGCACAGCACGGGGAGACAGGAGGACACGTCCTGCTGGAGCTCAGAGAAGTTGAAAGCAAAGGAACACACGGGCAGTGTCAAAGCTCATTTACTGGTGACAGATAAAAAAAACGGACTCGGAGTCTTCTGGGCTGGAGGTAATGAGTAGTAGCTGCATGACTAATTTTGTCTTGGTCGTTAACAGTATTCCCAAACACGTGGATGAAGGCTGCCATGCTGCCTCATGGGAGGTCCTCTTCCTGATGGTGAAAGCAGGTATGAAAGGAATCTTCATAACAGTAAACACGGGATAATCTTGTCTCGCCTTCCTCCCTCCCCTATTTCCATGTTAGGTTTATTCTTACCCTCTAATTGCTAAAGATTTGCTTAAGCTGAGATACAGAATTTCAGACTCTATGGGCTGGCTGCCTTCACATCATCATTTCCTGTCCTTTTCCAGACCTAGACCGGTTGAAGTGAACTTTGGAGTTCCTTTGCACCTTCAGAAAAAAATAGTTTACTCAGTGACAGGTTCCACGTTTCAAATTAAAATAGCCGACTGGATAAATTCTGAGCAAAGGAAGCACAGACAAATCCTGCCTCCCCAAGGAGGATCAATGGGTGAGAGGAACGAGATAATCTGAGATACCTGGGCCCCCTTTGTGCTTTCTGGGGTAAAAATGCAAAGGAAGGGTTTAATTAACTTCTCCATAAGTACAGTTAACATATGTATTAAAACCATCTCAAAACATGAAAAGTATCCTCAAAAGCCTTGTTTCAGCCGAGAGATTAATTCCTAATTTTAATTGTGGGATTATTCAAATGCAGAAAGAGTCTTTTAGATATTAAAGGCATCGCTAGCTGGCTTTTCAGTGCTTTACCACAGGGAGTCTTAGAATCCAATTATCTCTGAAGAAATATGTTAAATATGCTCATTAACATGTAAAAAAGTGGAAACGTGTATTAGAGAAAAGCTGATGTATTACACTTCTTAATGTCACAATGAATTAGCAATAAAGAAGGTTGCAACAGAAATAACTTGCTGAGATGCCTAGGCAGCATAGGCAAATAAAGCATTTTATTCCAATTAGCTTAATTCCTGATAATGACAGTGATGTAGTGATAAAACTTGCTATATAATGGGCTCCAGCCCTGGGAAAGTTTAGGAATCATGTTTTCGTGGATGGAAGGAGGCAAGAAAAGTGAGGGAAGTCTGAACCTCAGTGTGAACTGCCCTCAGCAGGCAAAAGAAGGAAGGAAAAAAGAGGGGAAAAAAGGCAAAGGATGCACGTTAGAAGGCAATAACCACAGAAAAACCTCGGGGTCCCGTGGCTGCACAGTGCAGGCACCAACCAGGCATTTATTTGCTTTTTTCCTTTGAACCTCTCATGCAAGCCCCATCCACTCCAGTCTTGAAGCCTTCCAGCTCTCCAAACCCCGTATTTAAATGCTTTCTCCCATGAAACCTTCAGTGCAGCACTTTCCCTCCTCCACCAGCACTGACCTACACTCCAGCTCTTCCCTGCTGAGCAGGAACAATCAGAGCCACTCAGGAATAAACAGTAATTTCCTGCTTTATTTTTTTGTTGGGAAACCTGACCACCCTGACCTGACTCCCACCCCTTTGAGCCCCAGACCTTAAACACCCCCCCCAAGTCCTAACACTCAACACCAGTTCAACACCAGTCCCTGCCACTACTGCCTGACACACAGTCACTGCATTCCCCCGACTGCTGGCAATGTTTCTTCTGTGCCCCTTTCCCTCCCAGTGTCACCTTCATCTGCTTTCCTTCCAGTCCCTAAAAGGGCTCCAGGAAAGCTGGGGGGGGGACTCTTGATCAGGGAGGGGAGCAATGGGATGAGGGGGAAAGGTTTGACCCTGAAAGAGAAGAGATTGAGATGAGGTGTGGAAGAAGTTCTTGGTGTGAGGGTGGTGGCCCAGGTTGCCCCGAGAAGCTGTGGCTGCCCCATCCCTGGAGGGGTTCAAGGCCAGGTTGGAGGGGGCTTGGAGCAACCTGGTCTGGTGGGAGGTGGCCCTGCCCAGGGCAGGGGGGGAGGAATGGGATAAGATTTATGGTTCCTTCCAACTCTAATCATTCTATGTTTCTATAAAATTTAGGTATGACCTAAGTTTTAGATCTTCAGCAATCACCATGGTGGTAATAACAGCTACAAAATTATTTTAAAGCTCTTGCTTAACACTTACATTTTCCACACCTTTTTTTTCTGCACTTCTGACATGTGTCTTGCTCCAAATGACCACACCAAAGTCCCAGTGCTGCCGTGAGCCAGGTGTCACCCCCAGCTTCACCCAGCACATCACTCCTCCAAACCCATCCCAGCTGGACAGTCCACAGCCCAGGCAACCCCAGCTGCCCCTCCTGCAAACGCCCAGACCAGCCTGCTTACAATATCTTTTTGCCCAAGAAATAGAAGAAAACATGAAATGATAAAAGTCAGTGGTCAAACTGCTTAAAGGAAACAACCAGAGAGCATTTCACCAGCAGCCTAAGCCTGGATCCACGCTCTGCCCATCCAGAGAAGCTGGTTTGCCCAGTGCCCTGGCACATTTTCTACAGGTGAGCTCAGAAAACAGAGCTCCTTCAGCAAATAGACCTCAAAGGACGTGTGAATATTAGTGGAGTGAGTCTGCCAAGTAAACAAAGGGCTGAAGACTTGTTTCCTCCTCTGCTGCGCCATGCCCCTTACCTCCATGTCTCTGTGGTAAATCCTCCCTGGAGAGCCAGCCCCGATTAACATGCATTTTGAACACACATTCCCAAAGTATTTATTCTTCTCTCAAGTGTGGGTGGTATCACAGGGCGATCAATCCCGTTAAAGCAAGATGCCACCCCTCCTGCCCCAAAAATTGAGCTGTGGTGCACATGACCCGCTTCCAGCATGGCTTGAAGGTCTTGGGGTGCATGGGAATCCCTAAGCACGTAGGGCACAGCCACAGAGGCTGCTACCCCTATCTTGATATTGGGTGAAAATAGGAAAAATTTGAGCTCAAGCTTTTATCTCAGCCAAAGGCATCATGAGCTAATTGTATTAAGCAATTTGGCTCTGCTGGAAGAGCAGTTTTCAGGGTAAAGAGCAGCACAAAAGATGCTTTTCTGTTGCCAAGTAGCTCCTGGGAAGATCAGCTTCTTTCTGGAGAGCAATCCCTCCCTGCCCCATCTCAGTCCTCTTTAAAACCCCTCAGAACCACCACAAACCAAAGCTCCCACCCCATTTCACAGCTCTCAAGGTGGCATCACTGAGGTTTGGTGTGGTTTCGTTTGCTCAAGGCTCAGAAGCACCTTCCCTCCCCTCGCTGGATTCAACCTGATTTATTGCAAGCTCCCCTCAAAGCAGTGTTTTCCTTCTTTTGTGTTCTGCAGCACTTTTAAGTTCTTCACATATTGTTTGACCCTCTTACCCTTTTCTGCTTCACAAAGCATGTATGAACTCCGGTACAGCACAAACCTGTTACTGCCTACGGTTGTCTACAAGAGGAGAAACCGCCCTGCTCAGGGTTTGGGTGGGTTTGACAAGAAAGAAAGAAAGAAGGAAAAAAAGAAAGAAAGAAAAAGGAGATGATGGCTCCTCCCTGGGTACTGCTCGCTGGGGCTGACAGAAGAGCTGCTTGATCACACCTGGGATTAAAACTGAAATCTGTGAGAAACCTCTCAGCTTAAAAAATGGGCATGCTTTGGACAGAACTGGCCAGAGAAAAGGAATCCCTGAGCTCGAGGACTTAGTACACAAAGCCCTCCTGTCCCCACTGCCTCCCGTGTTTCTCCCCTCCCAGCCCGTCCCAACACCCCTGTTAGGATTTCACACAAACCAAATGGGACCCGTGAACCAGGGCATTTTTCCTGAAAGTGCTTTTTTTTTAATACAAAACTGGATGTGTTTTCTTTGCTGTGCCCCAAACACCTCATACTTTAAAAGCCACGTGGATTTCTGATCTCATTGTTCCCCAGACTTTCTTATTAGCCGTGTATTGGCCACGAAAACGACTTTAAGAAATAGAAAGCTATAGTGAGGACAGCTCAAGTCTTACTCAAAAGGCCTAGGAAATTTCATATCACGCTGCATTTGGAGCACCTGGGGGGCTGTAAGAGAGCATAAGGGGATATAAAATTTATTTTCCTGAGCAAACAGCAATAACTGCATCTAGGCCTCCCAGTTAACCCACTGGTGGCCTCACCCACAGGGTGGCAGCGGGGACTGGTGCTGGATGCATGACCAGGAGTTGAAGTCCCTTCCTTCTCGTGTGCCTCAGTTTCCCCTTCTGGTAATGGGGGTGATCGTAGCCCCCCATGCCCACAGTCCCCAGTTGCTGGCTGGCTCTGGGACAGGCCATGTCACCCCTCTGTCCTGCTCCAAGGGCCACTTGGTGGCGCTGTTTGAAAAGATTTCTCTGCTGAAAAGATTTCTTTGCTCAATTCCTACCTCCTGGTAGGGATCGGAAGAGGGAGTTTTCTGGAAGGAATCACATTAATCTTGATGCGATCACATCCCTCTTGATGCATCACAATATCCTCATTTTTCTTCCTTTGTTTTCTTTTCTCTTTATTCACCATGAAATCATCCCGGGCGGTCTCCTCCCCTGCCTGTCAGTCACTGGGGATCTCCTTCTCACAAAACACAAGAGTCCCGGGCGTTTCTGAGGCATCACCTTAAACTAAATCCTCCAGTGGTAAAAATAACCTTTTCTGTTAAATTCCTTTGAAGTGTGTCTGCAGGTGGGGCAAGCTTAGGAAGGATCATGTGTTAACTCCAGAGAAAAGCATCAGAGCAGAAGTTAATGAGCAAGAGACAAATGAAGACAGGGGCTTGACAATGTAATTGGGTGCGAGATGTTTTAGGTCGCCCAGTCGAAGGGGTGTCTCCTGGGGAAGAAGAGGGCTGTGATCCTGAACTCTATATAAATAGACGGCTGAGAGCTGATCGGCTCCAGACTACGCTCCCGAAGCTCATCGTTCCTGCTGCTCGCCCAAGGTAAGCCTGGACACAGTTTTTACCATGTCTGACTTTGCTACCAGCAGGAAAGCCGGTCCTTCTGGCTGTGAGGATGTCCCTGGAGCTGCCACTGCTGAGCTCTCCTAAAGGAAAAGAAAAAAAAAAAAAAAGAAGATGGTAAATGAGATCTGGATTTACACCACTCCATGGTTTGGAAGAGATGACCTTCATTCACGGCTCTGCTCCAGAAAAAGCCAAATGGGATTTTTTTTTTTTCTCTTCTCCCTCACTGTGTTCCCCCCTCAGATCTGGCTGTCCCTCATGTCTCCAGCCATCACTTGCTGGTCTTCAATCCAGCCATCTCCGCAGCTGGGTTCCCTTTTTCACCTGTGTTTTCCTTGCTCTCTCTTTCTCTTCCCTTACACTGTCTTGTTTTACCTGTGCCCTTCTCTGGCACCTCTCTGCCTGTCCAGCTGTGTTGTTCAAGAGCAACTGAAAACCAGGCAAAGAAAATAAAAAGCCCCCTTTTCTCTTTCTTCTTCTCGCAGATTGCCCCAGTTTTGCAGAGAGATGGCCCAGACCAAGGAAAATATCCACGACATCGGTGGTTTCTACCTGTGTGCCCAAAGTGGTGGCAACTGCAGCCCCCTGAGCAGGGAGGAGCTGAGGCAGCTCATTGAGCAGGAGTTTGAGGACGTGATGGAGGTGAGGATCTGGCCCCACCACTGGTGCCTTTGGGCTGCGGGGCTGGGATCGGTAAAATCAGCCACTCCCAGAAGGGTGCACAGGACACTGGGCTCCCTGGGAAAGGCACAGATGTCTTCAAATCCCAGGATCTGCAGGGAAGAGAAGAGGCTGTTCCTTCTCCCAGTGCCATCAGCTTGTGGAACTTGGTGTGGGAAGCAACACAGTGGCGGGGGGTCGTGGGGCTGGATTTCAGCCCTGTGACTGCTTGAGTGCTCCTACACAGGAGACACAAATGGCTCATGGGCTTTGCCAACACCGTTTGTCTCTTTCCAGAAGCCCCAGGACCCCAAAACTGTCAAGAAGGTGCTGCACTTCCTGGATGATGACAGCAAACGCAGGGTTGACTTCAGAGAGTTGCTCAGCCTGGTTTTCCGCACGGCCAAGGCTTGTTACAAACCACTGCAGCCTGGCCAGGGGCAGGAAGATGGTCAAGAGTCAACAGAGGAAGAGAAGGCAGGTGGGAAGCGGCCACCAGGGCCTCACACAGCGGGAAGGGTCTCCCACAACCAGCAGGTCCCCAAGGAGGGTGTGAATGATCAAGATCAGGACTCAGACACCAGTGAAAACCAAGAGAGTGAGACACCAGAGGAGGACCAGGACACCCGTGAAAACCAAGAGGGTGAGACATCAGAGGACCAGGACAACCATCAAAACCAAGAGGGTGAGACACCAAAGCAGGACAAGGAAAAACGTCAAACCCAAGAAGGTGAGACACCAAAGCAGGACCAGGACAAACGTGAAACCCAAGAGGGTAAGACACCAAAGCAGGACCAGGACAAACGTGAAACCCAAGAAGGTGAGACACCAAAGCAGGACCAGGACAAACGTGAAACCCAGGAGGGTGAGAAACCAAAGCAAGACCGGGACAAACGTGAAACCCAGGAGGGTGAGACACCAAAGCAAGACCGGGACAAACGTGAAACCCAGGAGGGTAAGAAGAAAGAGAAGGACCAGGACAAACGTGAAACCCAGGAGGGTGAGACACCAAAGCAAGACCGGGACAAACGTGAAACCCAGGAGGGTAAGAAGAAGGAGCAGGACCAGGACAACCGTCAGAATGACAGGACTGGAGCACCAGAAGGGGAGCCAAAGAGAGGTGAGATTCTGGACACTGCAAAACCAGGGCAGAACAGAAATACTCATAAGGCTGAAGAGACTGAGACACCAAAACAGGACCCAAAAACCCACCAGACCAAAGAAACTGAGGCACCAGGACAGGGCTCAAACCACCATAAGAGTCCAGAGACAAAGTCAGCAGAGAAGGACCCTAATTGTCCCTCTGAGACACAAGGAAGAGACCCAAAGAACAAGACGCATGGCTGCGAGGCCTCCAACCCTGACACGACCCAGAAGCTGCTGCCCCCTCAGCGTGGTACAAGCCCCCGTCGGGATCCCAAGCCCCGGGGACCACACCACGACCCAGCTTTCCATTGGCTCCCTGAATCCAAGGTGCTGGAGCCAGAGCACAGCGGGGCAGAGGCTCCATCTGGTCCAGCACGACAGCACCAAGACACTCATCAGCACAAACAACCCATTATCGACCAACAGGTCCTGCAGTCTCTGTACCAGTGGCCACCACAGCAGTAAAGGCAAGATGAGGTGAGGCTGTTGCCCCCCGTGAGGGGGTACATTTTGTCCAGTACCACTCTGGTTTTTGTATTTCTATTTGTCATCCCTTATCCAATTCCTTATTGACCCTGGGCTTCACCTCCCCTGGTTTGTTCTGGGCTATTCATGACTAGACACCTTCCCCCTCACCCTCTTTTGGGCTGCCTCTGCCCGTGTAAGCAAAGTAATAAAACTGAAGATAAAACAGCACAATGTCCTGGTGTGTTCTTGCCGTCATGCCCTCAGCCCAGCTCTGAGAAAACCAGCCAGGGTGACACAATGTGGCCCGTCCCTTGCGTGAGCATCCGTCCTGTGCATGACACGTGGCCAGATTGCTCCAGGGTGCAGGTGGAGGGATGGTTGCAAAGAGGCAGGCGCATCGTGGGGGTGGAAAAGCTAAAGGAGCTGCCTCTCGGCCGCCTTTGCCTTTTAGCCGAGGTGAATCGATTGCTCCCCGCAGGCAGGGATGTGACATCCCAGTGAGAGATGTCTTCAGAGGGGGGTAGAAAGTCTGGATTAACACAACAGCGTGGCCGACCTGAACGGATTCCTCACAGCATCCATCTGCTCCGGGGCGTTTTTCATGTCTGCTGTGGAAAGAACAAACAGCTGCTTAATGCTGAATGGGAGGGCTTTGTCCTATTTAACTTCGCTTCATTAATAGTCTCAGAAGCAAGGGGAATGTGGAGCATGCTATGAAGATCAAAAAATCCCTATTAGCTATGGAAGTCTCCAAAGGAAGGAGGAGTAGAGATATATTAAACAAGGGAAAAAGGATTATTCGGGTACATCCAGTCCCAGCAACAACTGGGAGGTCAGAGAGAAAGAGCTGACATGCAAACCCTGCACAAATGGAGCCAATCTCACAGTCAGAGTCAGCTCAGGTGGTTCAGGGTACCAGGTCCTCGGGCACTTGTCCAGATGTCCACATAGGAATGTAGGTAACTCCAAGGGCATGAGCAGTCCGGTGAAGTCAGTGGGGTTCATTAGGGGGTTCAGACGTGCTGGACCACCAGGCAGGCCCAGGACTCAGCAGCCCACAGGGAAGGGTGATGCTCAGCCTGTTTTTCACCATGCTATCTTTCACTTGCCACCTATCAGCAAAATCAGCACACGATAAATGCACCCGCACCTCCTGCTTTGTGGCCAGTGACAAGCAGCACGCAGAGACCTCACTGGAAAATAAAACGTCATTCCTCTGGGACACCCCAGAATTTCACAATTTGCTGAGCGCTGAATCAGAAAAACCAGCGTTTCAAAACCATCCCCAGAATGTGCATCACAAAAACTTTGGTTTAAAAGTCCTAATGTATTAGACACAAAGTACACCAGTCTGCTCTACCACTGATAACACCTATTAGCAAAAATATGTTCTGACCTGCCTCGTGACAGCTGTGGACACTCAATGGGAGATTCAAGACTTAAATTTCACCACCTATCGGTCAAAATGCCAATCCCTCTGAGATATTCCTCAAAATGTTATGTTTTCTAGAGAACTCAATTTTTCTTGTAAAATAGAATCATGGAATGGTTTGGGTTGGAAGGGACATTGAAGCTTATATGGTTCCCCACCCTGCCCTGGGCAGGGACACCTCCCACCAGACCAGGTTGCTCCAAGCCCCCTCCAACCTGCCCTTGAAGCCCTCCAGGGATGGGGCAGCCACAGCTTCTCGGGGCAACCTGGGCCAGGCTCTCACCACCCTCACACCAAAGAACTTCTTCCCCATGTCTCAGCTCCATCTCCCCTCTTTCAGCCTCAAACCCTTCCCTCTCGTCCCGTCACTCCACTCCCTGATCAAGAGTCTCTCCTCACTTTTCCCCACCCTTTGAGGGACTGGAAGGGGCTCGAAGGTCTCCCTGGAGCCTTCTTTTCTGCAGGCTGAACCCCCCCAACTCTCTCAGGCCCCCCTCCCAGCAGAGAAGCTCCAGCCCTCCCAGCATCTACAGGGCTTCCTCTGGCCCCACTCCAGGTCTCCGAGGTTTGTTCTATAGCTCTTTGTTTCTTATTAGTTCTGGCTTAGGTTCTAAAATCACCAGACCCAACCATTCCTCTATAGTCTGTCTGTCCATCAAACACCACCTTTTGCAGCATCAATAAAAAAATTACCTCCCAGTTCAGGCAAACCCTGTTAGGGCCATGTTAATTATATGCTGTACTCTGAGTAACACTACTTTTACCATCAGGAGTGTCATATTTGAATTTAAGAGAGGCTTTTTTTGGTTCATTTTAAGTAGAAGATAAAAATTATCCCATTGACACAAATACCTAAGAGTCCTGCAAGCCTGGGTGGTGCTGGAAGAGAAAAAGTCTTTTATACACCCCACAAGGACCCCAGTTCCTCTAAGATTAAATGAAATACAAGTTTGGTCACCCTATATAAATGTTGACAGGCATGGGTGCAGAACTGGGTAAAAAGCAAGAGGATGGAGTTACCCTCTTGGGTAACAGCTTTTCAAAACCAACCCAGGTCCCATCTTATGAAAACGTCTTTGTGGAAAACCAAGCTTTTGGAGAAAAGGAGGTTTCAGTGCTTCGAAACACGTTGGTTTGAACCCAGCAAAGCACAGGGAAGGGGGCAAGAACGGCCATAATGCGACGTACCTTCTTCTGCGTCGATACCCGAACAGCACCCAACCATCCCGTGCTGCCCCAGCCCCTGCGGGGGGGATTACTGACTGTTACAGGACACCAAGCCGCACTGTAATACTCTAATTTTAATAATAACTCCAATCTACCATAAAATTACAGTTTCCCAAGGGTATTATTATCCCACAGGTGGGGTATAATTTGCACAAGTATAATTTAATCTTGAAAAAAAGCTCAAAAATGAAGTATGGTTAGTAACAATCCTTCGTACGCACTTGTATGAGTATCCCCAAGGTGTTACCAGCACTAATTAATTAGGCTCCTACACCCAGTATGATCTTACCTTAGAGATGGGCCAGATGAGCCACTCACCCAAGGCTGCGTGACAAGTTCATGTTCTGGAGGTTCTCTGCAATGTCTTCATCATGCGTGTCAAGGCAGCATCCTACCTCCAAAACCAAAAGCAGGGGCCCAGGTGGCACAGCTGGTATCTTCCTTATTTGCTCGGTGCAGTGGGAGAGTTTGGGATGAATAACGAAATCAGTTGGTCTCTAATTAATTTACTGTTAAAAGATTAAAAAGGAAAAAAAAAAAAAAAAAAAGAGGAGGTTGTAGAAGAAATTACAGCAGGAGCTGCCTGGGGCAACCAG